ACACAGAACAAATGCCTATGCGCTAAAGACGAGACGCCTAACCGCTTCAGCTGTGTAGAGATCTAAAATTTCCAACGTCTATTGGGATGTTGCTGGGTATTTGGTCAAGACATGGGAATTCTAGAGATCTGAATCTCCGCAAAAGATGACGTTTAATAAAATATTGATCAGCTAGCTAAGCAAAATAGGGTTGGGTCAAGGAATGGAATAACTCACGCAGTGCACTAGTTTGTATGCTCGGATGAATATGTGCGTGTGTGTATTCGGGTGTGTGTGTCTGTGCATGTGTGTGTGCTCACGTGTGTGTGTGTGTGTGTGTGTGTGTGCGTGTGTATGTGTGTGATATGTATAGTGCAAACAGGACTGAAGGAAAAAGATTTTATTGGACTCCTGCCAAGCATTAAAGGTTTCAGATACAGCTTATTGTACAAAGCTATAGAGCTTTCTGTTTTTCTTTGTTTCGTGAACTCGAGTTTTGCCAGGAAAGAAAGTGATGGAAAAACGAGACATTTTCCGTGCGCATTTTGCAATGACACATGAATAGGACATATCAATGAATACGAGATGAGTGTGGACAAAAGACTTGTGTGAAGGCCAAATAAGTTGGCCGTCAAAGATCTCTTGAGCAAAAAGAACCATTGACGAATGAACAAAAGAGAAACGCCCACTTTGCTGAAAAAGCCAAGTTAATACGAAGGAGCAGTCTGACGCATGATGCATATGAAAAAACATAACACATTTTTCATAAATTTTCTGATTTTTATGCTAGACGTTATCGATTCAAGTGCGTTCTATCAGAGACAAATATGTTAGGAATAATATAGACCTGTCGTCTCTCCCTCTCAAAATAGAAAGATAGACCCAAACAAAAATAAAACAACTCAAAAGCAAAACCTCAAACAAAACTACTGTGATCTAGATGTTGAGCCGTCGACCGGACAGCACCACGTGACAAAAGGGCAAGAGGGAAAAGGGTCGACCGTCTTGGGAGTTTTTGTCAAGCGTTCTGATAGCCTCAGAGTTTTATGTTTGACAAGCTCTCATCCACTGGCCACTCGGCCTTTGATTTACCCAAGTCACCAGGGGGGTGAATTGTTTCCTGTCTCCTTCTCCTGCAGCACGTAGCGCTTGTAAATGCCACAAAATTTCCTATTCCAATGATGAGCCCGTTTGACCCCTTGTCCATTAGAGCCGGTGTAGACGAGAATATAGGAATAATACCCAATTTCCGTTCTCCCATTGAGAGTGCATTCCCTTGATACTACAAAATGAAACTTCAGAATTTATTACCGATCTTTGTTCCTGGGTGTCTTTGAGAGGTGACAAAATGGAAAAAATGAAGAAGCATTGATAAAGAATAAAGAATAAGCATAAAGAAATAAAGAATAAAGAAATATAAAACAAGAAAGATTAAGCTAGTTTTTGCATTTGGGAAAGGGTGGTCGGGCATTTGGCAAAGGAGATAACGACCATAAGGAGACATGCCCCCCCCCCCTTTTCAAACGAAAAAGAAGAGGACTTTCAGTGAGTAATAACGCTACGCATGGTACAGTCTTGGGGCAAAAATGTTAGTATTTTGAGCTAGATTCATTCTAATGAGTACCCCAAACAAAGCGAAAAACTGTTTCAGCTTTGAAAGTAATAAGGTACAACGAGGCCTAGAGCGTGATTTAAAAAGCCCAACAAATAGCAGAATAATGTTTTAAAAAGTGTGTTTTTGTAAAATGAAAGAGAAGAAGTTAGTTCATACAAAAACTGTTGATTAAGAAGTAGCAAGCCATTTGAAACTATTCAGCCCCAGGTGTTTGAAGATGCGCATTGAATAAAACCCACATGTACACCAGCTACCTTACAGACATTTCAAAAAATGGATTTAAAAATGAAATGTAAAAAAAGAGATCAGTGATTTGCAACAAACTTTTATCTTATTCCCAAGGGAGATTTACTTTTCACCTCTACAAATTCGTACATCAGCGAAACAGTTTTGTTTCCTTACAAAAACAAACCACAGTCTTACTAAACTAATGTTACTTTTTTGTTCTGACTAATAAAAAAAATAATTTTCGTATTTTTTTCTCATACCTAACCATTTTGTAATTTTTAGCTTTATTTTAAAAAAATCAAAGTGGAAGTGCAAATAATGACAGCCAAAATGATGTGGTCTCCGGGTGGGAACTTGTCTGATAGACAAAACAATAACGTCTGTTAATGAATTTGCCCCCTTCCTTTGCGAACTAGTTGTAAAAAAAACTAATGACGTGCCAAAACGAATGGCCTTCCAAAAGTAATGGCCTCTAAGATATCGCTTCCCATAGTACGGGAACCAAAGACCTGGTTTTGTTTAGACTGACCTGTCTGTTTAATGCAGACCTGAGTACCCTCGTTGCTGAATAAATTTGCAAGTTTGGGGGATCTTAGGTCAAATGTACAGAGCCTAAGCTACTCATACATATACGTAACTTATTTAAGAGAATATTTTATACACAGAAAATTACCTTAACATTTGAATGATTTGGTTTTTATTCTGGCAAACCGGGCGAGCTGAATTATTTTTATTTCACGCTTTTGAGACAAAATAACACCACTGGGAAGACAACATTTTGTCGACACAAATAAAAGGATTAGGTGTGTCAGCTATAGTGCTCTTCATAGTCTCACCTCTTGAGGAAGCTATTAGACACTCTAGAAAGAAAAACACATAATTGTCACTCGGCGAATGTGTATTTAATATAATTTACTTTCTTATTTATGGCCTTTTATACCGCATTTGTGCTGGCAGAGACAATCATGGACTAAATTAATTTTTGTGGCACTTAGGCTCTGTGAATGTGATATTCTCTCCACAAAATCTGGTAATTAATCCAAGCCATGTGTTATGTATATCGTTTGGTATTCACAATGTACGGCTTTTTTTTTTTTTGCAATTAAAAAAATAGTGTTCGTTTGACCTCGTATCGCGTGTTGGTTGGCAGGTGCTCTGGTGTGGTTTGCTCTTTCTTTGTTATCAAACATGTATCTTCTTTTTCTCTCCTCCTTTTCATTATGCATAATTATATTTTGTTACTTTACACCTCTAATCTTCGACAGTTAAATGACTCATTTAGTGTTGCAAGTGCAGTAGAACTCCCACTGAAACTAAAATTAAAAACCTTGCATCGCGTGAGTGGTGTACTGGTTTGGCTCTTTGCCGCAGCATACTGAAGATGTGAGCTTGTGGGTGGTTAGTTGATGCTCTGGTGTCGTTTGCTTCTTCTTTCCTGTCAAACATCTACCGTCCTTATCTCCCCTTCTTCTTTTTTGTGTTTGTTACTCTCTTGTAACACCTCTAGTCTTCGGCACTTATATGGCCTTATTGTGTTGCATGTGCCGTAAAACACTTACCGGTACCAAAACAAAGAGATGTCACGTCGATCTCCTCGTAGGGAAGACTTTTGTTGGGTAGCTCGGTCGTTCTAATGGGCATCTGTATCCAACTATCATGGGTTGAAACCCAACAGGCATGACTGGAGATGCCTGTCTCCTAAATATGCAATGGCACGATTTTTTCAGGCCCTCGTCAGGTTTTGAGCATATAAAGCTGGAGATATTGTCTGATCTTACTTAAAGTGTGTTTAATTGTTCTTGCTTTTTATGAAAAAACAACAACCGGGAGCAAAAGTCGATAAATACATTATTTAGGGTAGTAGGAGACAACTGAGGTCAGAAGTAAAATTAAACTACCCAGAAAATGGCCCTCTCAACTTCAGAAATCCGAGAGTTTCAGTTTCCTTAGTAACTGTAAATTTACACTGTTTGTGTCTTTGCTAGACATTTACAGTAAGACCCACTCAGAAATGTGTTTCTAAATTAACTGAAAAGCTGTTGCCCCCCCCTCCCCCCTTCCAAACACACACACAAACACACACACACACACACAAACACACACACACACACACACACACACACACACACACACATACCTACGCACACACACCAACACGCACACACACCTACGCACACACAGAAACACACACACAGAAACACACACACACACACACAATTAAATGAAAATGGCTAAATGTTGGGAAAATGTCTGTTTCTTCGGTTTCAATAGGTAGATTTCATTACTATGAACGTCAAATGATTTGAACAGTGTTGACGTGTTCGTGAAACATTTTTCATCAGTCAAGGAGAAATAAATCCGACGAAATAAGGTTGAGGATACTTTGAAGTTATCTGATCCTTTTAAGCTATCCCCAGTGAGGTACTACTTCGGTGACAAGAAATGTATTGATAGAGAAATGGAACACCAACTCAGTCATCAAATTATGCAATACTCTCTTTTCAATCAGTATGTTTAGATTATTTTCTGCACTTTATAACAGCAATCTTTTTGTCACCTTCTCCTTTTTCAAACTACACTAAACAAGAGTCAAAACTGTCCAAGACGGCCATCCATTGACCTTCAATATCAATAATTTATTTGTAGAGGCACCAGCCATCCATGTCTTGGTGATGTTTTAGCCACGGTCATCGTAGATGTTAAAATAGGCGGACGTCATGGACATTATGCAATAATTTTAAAAAAAAGGGATTTTCTTTATGTTGAGGGTGAGGTAGATTGGATTGGAGGGTGGTCGTAGATTTGCCCAGTGCTGAAAGGGATGCACATGACAGCAGACAATGCTCGATAAAAATCCCCCCCCCCCTTCCGGAATCGAACACGAGTCTCCTGCGTGCAACAGCGAAGCGCCTAACCTCTACACAACAGACATCGGTGTGCTGGTCGGGGTAAACTAAAACATCTACAATAATGATACCATAATCATGATATATGCATGTATTTACACCTTATGCAATTGCAAGCGCGATAAAACTCTTACTTAACTAAACTAAACTAAACTAAATGCAAATGTATAATATTCATTATATTAATAATAATAATATACATATTATAGCTATATATTATACACACCAAAGGTAACAAATTTCTTCTCCCACCCCTTTCTATTATTTTTCAGCCCAAGATGCTGTCCAGGGCCCTGAGGAGGTGTATGCCAAAAACCCTCAGAAACGACGTGGAAGCAAAAGCTCAAGAGGCGTTACAACGCTACACTCAACATAAGAGCTGCCGCTAGTAATACCAGATTGTCGACTACGTCATCACGTCATCATAATTAAGTGTCATCAGGGGAGAGAAGCATCGAGATCGCAGGGAGTTACATCATATCAAATGTCAATGTCATCATCTTTAGTCGCATCAGAAGCCTAGGTTTGTAAAACAAGGGAGATTGCCAAATTCACCTTAAAATGTTTTTTTAATTGGTTGCGTCAGTTGATCCTTTTTGTGGCAGCTCACTCGTGTTTGAATGTTGACGCAGCCTTTGCTTAGTGTGCTGGGATTTAAGTTGTGAAGTAGGATAAAAATGACCCTAGCTTAAGGTTTATTCCTTTACTTTCATCAGCAAAAAAATGTATTCACTTAACCTCTCTAAGGTTTCTTCAATAAGTGAATCAATAATTTCAAAAAACATCCAATCCCTCTATTAATAAATCAATTGGTAGATCAATCAAACTGCCGAATTTTTTTTTAAAATGTCGTTTTCTAATTAAGACCCACTTCCCAATCTATGTAATTTTCTCTCAACTTTGTTGCGTTGTCACTGGACAATGAGACCATCCAAATCGGCTCCATTTGAGTAGACAATCTAGTTAGGTCATGTCTTGTAAATTAAGCTGCTGGTGAGTGGGGTTTCCCTAGAAGATTTACTGGTGTGACCAGCATACTGACCAATGTCATGAAACAGAAAGAGAGAGAGAGAGAGAGAGAGAGAGAGAGAGAGAGAGAGAGAGAGAGAGAGAGAGAGAGAGAGAAAGAGAGAGAGAGAGAGAGAGAGAGAGAGAGAGAGAAAGAGAGAGACGGAAGGAGAAAGGCAGAGAGACAGAGAAAGAGAGACAGGTGATTTTCAATTGATGTCTTTAACCTGCAAAGTGAGCATAAAGATAACTAAACACGCAGTCATTGACAGTAAAGACAAACATTACAAGAATGCACTTTTTTCTGCATGTTAGTTACAAAAGCTACAGTTCCGCAGAAGGACCACATCATGCGTCATAATACCAAGAGGAATGACACACTCCCATCGACAACAGCAAGGATAACAAAACTAATAAAACAATAACGCCCCTTGTCCATCCCTATCAATCTGATGCCACCCTATTAGAATCAGCACTGTTTAAAACACTACTGTAAATGGAATTACAATGATGATATGGGCTTTACAAACGACAAAGAGAAACGCCAACAACACTTCCACAAGCAGACATCTTAATGGTTTAAAGGAAAATTATTTTTACCAACCCAGACACCAATCCATAATCACCAACACGAAAAGAGAAACCACAAAAAGCACCGTATTAGTGGCTCACGACGGATTAGACAGCGATGGCACAAGTATGACGTCACATTTGTAGTGTTGGTTCAGCAATCTGCCAGTTGATTCGCCGAGGGGGATTTTGTATGTCTGGATGCTAGTGTGCCAATCTGTATGTTTGCCAGTGTGTCAGTGTCTCAGGACTCCCTAGACAAACGGTCGATATGGAAGGTGTATCGGTTACCAGGAGCATGGTGTAGCACGAATAATGAATTAATAAATACAATATCGTAAAAAATCTCGAGATTTTTTCATTTTTTTTTTCATTACCATTTGTTTGGGTTAAGATTTCTATATTTAATTTATGAACTGTGTTCAGCATTGAGATACAATGGGTGGTTAGTGTGTGCTCTTGTGTGGTGATGTCTGCTCCTTTCCATTAAACATATTATTAAGCTTATCATCTTTTTCTCTTGTCCTCCTTTTCTTTTTGGTTACTCTCAAGTAGTAACTCTAATCGTGGACACATATATGACACATATGTATTGCAGATGGTATAAAACTCCTATAAAAATAAGCTATCAAAACGGATACGAAATCTGTCAGATGAATGAGAAAATACCGGAGGATTTATTTTTACGCCTCTCGACACAATTAAAATCATGTAGAAAGGTGTCTTCGGTCCTGCACGTCAGAGCCAATTGGGGTTAAGATGAATATATATACATATATATGT